AATGTTCTTGAGGTTTTGAGGTTTGGGTATCTGCAGCATAGTTTAAGGTATAATCAGGTTTCATTATTCAGTTCATTTTGGAAAAGGAAATGCATTTTTGTCTTCACCACTTGGAGATTATTGCTAAACTTTGCAATTGCTGTTTGATTTTTTATTGCTCCATTTTATTAATGTATTATCATTGATATATTTTAATTGGAATTAATTTTAAGAATCTGAATGTGAGTCATTAACCTGAAAACTGCTTTATTAAAGGCCCTTGTTCTGTTACAAATTACTTTAATAAATACCCATGTTCCTATTAAGAAACTAAGAAAGAACTAAATAGCAAATATGTCTACTAGGCTGTAGTTAAGTTGATGATAGTCCACACAAGCTGAAAATAAAATGCTTATATAAAATCATAATTGTTTTAACAACTATTTTGCTTATGTTATAAAGTAGCATATTAACATTTGGTAAAAGATTTAGGTTCGTGTTACTTTTGATTTTGCTAATTTAGACTCTTATTTGTCTTCCTGGATTTTGTACAGAATGCACGAGGTTTATTGAATAGTTTAACACCTTTATTTTTTCTTTCTTTTTAATCATCCTGATTTTTATTGTTTTTTCTCAATAGCTGTTTTAAGTATTGTAATATAGTGCTTGATTATGAAAGAAGACTGCCAGCAACACACAGTTTACTAGGCAAAATCTTTAGGCAAATGAGGTTTCGTGCATTCATATCACATGGTATTGTTTGTTAATTTCAAGTTGTTTTTGTGATATTAATTTGAAATATCTGATATTTCAGGTTTCAGACACTGTTGTAGAACCATACAATGCAACGCTTTCTATTCATCAACTATTGGAAAACTCAGATGAAACTTTCTGTATAGATAATGAAGCGCTTTATGATATTTGCTTCAAGACACTGAAACTTCAAAACCCAAGTTACGGTGACCTTAACCACTTGGTTTCCCTTGCCATGTCTGGGTTTACTACTTGTCTTCGCTTCCCTGGCCAGCTCAATGCTGACCTTAGAAAGCTTGCAGTAAACATGGTGCCCTTCCCCCGGCTTCATTTTTTCATGCCGGGATTTGTTCCTCTCACTCCACGGGGTTCACAAAGTTATAGAGCCCTTTCAGTGCCTGAGCTGACCATGCAAATGTTTGATGCCAAGAATATGATGGCAGCTTGTGATCCCAGACATGGACGGTATCTTACTGTTGCCTCCATCTTCAGAGGCAGAGTGTCCATGAAAGAAGTAGATGAACAGATGTACAATATTCAAAGCAAGAACTCCTCATTCTTCATCGAGTGGATTCCCCACAATGTAAAGACAGCAGTTTGCGATATAGCCCCTCGTGGCCTCAAGATGTCGGCTACCTTCGTTGGAAACACAACTGCCATTCAGGACCTGTTCAAGAGGTTATGTGAACAGTTTACAGCCATGTTTAAGAGAAAAGCTTTCCTCCACTGGTATACTGCAGAGGGGATGGATGAAATGGAGTTCACTGAGGCGGAATCCAACTTAACAGATTTAATTGCCGAGTACCAGCAGTACCAAGAAGCAACTGCAGATGATGAGTCTTTAGGTGAAGAACAATATGAAGAATATGCATAATATGTTGATTTGGCTGCCTTAAGGAGTTCTATATTTAATCTTATTCATATATGAATGGCTATAACTACCCTTTATGTATGTTTATATTCACAATAAAGTAATTACTTAATCCATCTTTTAGATTATCCAGCCTGCATGTTACAAAATCAGTTCCTATTGTTTCCAGTTGAAAACATGTAAAGCATTTGTTCAAGACAACTGTGTGTTTTGGGTGTAAAGGAAATCTGTAAGAGGCATAATATAAGATTTTTATTTGCATGCTTATAAGATAACAACTTACATGTATCAACAATAACAATGAGTGTGATGACTGCATCAGCATGAACCACTTTTGCATGATATGAATCAAGAAAAATATGAGATTCAAAAAAAAATCTTTTTGAGTAGATAGGCATAATTATTCTTGGTGTCTTGAAGAGACTGATATCGTTTCATGCATCTGCAAAATTCTCTGTCCATAAGAGGATGCAGACATCATATTAACAAACCATAACCTGCTATCAATAGAATATCATTTGAATCTCTTATAAATCAAAGTGGATTATTATAATTTTTTCTTTCTTATTCATCAAGCTGTATGATGTTTCTGGAACAGTTCCTCACATCCTTTGATTATGCAGAGAAAAATTCCTCAACAACTGGCAAATAAAAATTTAGAAAAATATCCCGTTTCTCATTAATATATAATTGCATCTTACAAAACACAGTCATATGTTTACAAAGGTATTTCTTAACAGTATCATAAAATGATTCTGAAAGAACTGTGCATAGTTGAACAGGCATCATATCACTAATCCAACATCAACAGATGATGGCTTACAGCCAGACTTGTTTTCAGATTTCATGATATACAGCGACTGAATTTCATAGTTGAAATTGCACATTAGTTTCTAC